TAGTTCATCGCAAAAATCACTTCTTTTCATGTACTCATTTCGTTTGTCCCACCAGTTAGCCCACCAGTGAAACCAATAAATCAGGCGAAATGTTTTTTGATTTAAATAAAATATTTGTTCTAAATTTCATTATAATATCCATCAAGCAATGAATTATTCAAACGTGAGAAATTAACTATCCAAAATGGGTAAGAGAACTCCATTGTGCTCTCTTTCTCTTTCCTGGCTTTATTCGATTACGAAAACACGAAAAAAATAGATCCAAATCGAAGGTTAAAAGCTTAATTCGATTAATTCTTATGTAATTAAAATCGATTTGATTCTTCACAAAAAAAAAAAAAATGTCATCGGAACAATCCATCTTCTTATCGAATCGCTTGTAGCGTACGTGCCATGAATCAATCAATTGGATTAAAGTACAATTAAAAGTCAACAATATTGCAAAAGTATTTCGTTTGGCTCTACCTCTTTCTCTTCCTCTCTTTTCCCAGTCCGTCAAATTCAATGGATGCATTTCGTTAGTCTTCTCCATCGTGCTTCTATAACAACACATATACTTATTTGATTATAACGATTGATTTTATTTTTTTTTCAAGTTGCTGCTGATGTTCAGATCTGTACGTGCAAATTCACATCAATTTTGCATCTGTTACATGCATAAAATAGTCAATAAATATCGCTAAAAACTCCATATTTTGTTTTTGCTAATAATAGCTTTTGCATTCCAATGTTTCTACGTAAAAAAGTGTTAAAATAGTATTCTTTTTGTTTCGATAGACTTTCTCTGCATTTTCATTCAAACTATCGCTAAAATGTACCGATTCTCTATAAATGTCGCCTCATTCCATTTTATTGTTTAATTAGTGCCAATCGTAGTCTTTTGTTACACTGAAAGTATCTCTCCTAAGTTTGTTAAAATATAGTTTTGTTGTTCTTGGTTTCATTTTCAGAAAATTTAATTGATGTGGCGGTGTGTGGGTGTGTGTGTGTGTTTGTATGTGGAGAAATTCGTTTTGTTAGTAGACATTTATATTATTGTGCATGATGACTGATGCATCACTTCATTCAAAAATACGGGAGTGCTTGCACCTAATCCACCATCGGTCTTCTGATGATCATTCTGAAATGGGATTCATACTCTAATTATTATGCATTGCACATGCATATACATGGTGGTCAGGTCAGATGTTGAATGGAATTTACCTCGTCAAATTCGCAATCAAAATAGTTGCCTTGACAATCTATGCAACGGCACTGTTCGGACATTTTACATGTGATGCCCCATTCCTTGGCAACGGCCTTATAGATTTTTTTCGATGATTTATTGTTGATGATTGTGTCCAATGTGGTTTGGAGTTGAATATCCTGAATATCTTGCAACTGGTTCTCATGCGAATCCCAATCGTCAACTAAATTTTGATTATCTATACTCGATGGACACTCTTGCTCATCATTGGTCGAATTGACTGAAGTGTTTTCTTCTGGAAAGACAAGAGCAAGAACAAAACAATCAAATCAACTACGTTTGCAGTTTGCCAAACCTAGTTTTTGCTCTTACCTAAATTAATCTGTTCAAGGCTTTGGTTTGCAAATAGAGGATCACACGATCCGGCTGTCGAATCAATCAAATTCTCATTGGACCGTGATGGATTGGACAAGAAGAGTTTTTCACCAACTGTACACTCTTTTTCATCGTACTTAGAAGATTCCTTGTTATTTGATGTGACATTTCCCTCACAGTCGTGCAGAAATTGATCCTATTCGTGCAAAAAAATTCCTCCATCAAAATTGTACGTCGAAAATAAAGGAAAATACAGGAATATTATCATAAGGAAACATAATTGAGTTACATTTCGAGATATCGTTGAATTGGATGAAGACGTTTGCATATTTTGATAACAATGTGCATCTGTGATATTTCTCATTATGGTTGGATTTTCGTAACCTAGTTTTTAAATGAAAAAAAAAAAAAAAATCATCAAATCAGCAATTAATTTCAATTTGATTATTTATAAGTAATGCGATTTTTCAATTACAATTAAGAGAGAAGACATTAAAAATGCATGGTGCCCGACTATAGACGAAATTTCGGCTGGTTTACGCTTTCAGTCTATATTTCGCCCAAAACTTCAACTGAAAATCTACTTTCAGGCGTATATTCGTCTGAAATCTAGGCAAAAAAAAAAAACGAATGGAATACAACTTACTGGGAGGAATATCGACTGAGAGCGTATACTAGCCGGAATTCCGTCTAAATTCAGGCGTAAATTGTAAACAGTGCAAAGTGTTATATTTTTACCTATTTCTTCTTCAAATGTATTTGGCAACAAATTGTGTTGATCGTTATTTGTGCTCATGCTATTATATTCGGAACTGAGTGTTGTATTACTTCCACCAACAGCTGACTGTCGCATAAGCAGTGGCTGCTGAACACTGCTATATTGAACAGGCTCTTCGATTTCCTGCGATATGCTTCTGGAACCGCTTCCCATGCGAAACTTCAACTTAAATGGAGCCATATTAAACAGATATTTTTTTTTTTGGTTTTACTTCAAACTCTGGAACTTTTGTGTCAATTTTCTATGTTTGTTCTGTTTTTTTTTTTTGGTTTTTAAATTCCACTAGTATTTAGTGATCTATGCACTTGAATGCGTCCATAAAAACAAAATTATAGATGAATGGTAGCTTTCTTGGTTTGGTTTGTTTGTTTCTTTCTTTCTTTTTTGTAAGGCTACAGCATTTGGAGTCAGTTGATACACGAATAGAAAAGAAAAAAAGGAACAGAGAAAAGAAGTTTTGAAAATTGAAAGAGCTTAGATTTTCTGTTATGAACAAAAAAAAAAAATTTGTTGTTGTTTATGTTGCTTGATTTGCATAATTTATCATAAGATTGGTTTGCAAATAGAAATGCTTGCAAAAGATTAATGCGTGTTTCCATGTCATAATGTATGTGATGAAGGAGTGAAAAATGCGACACATGAAAATGAAACGAAATGTGATAGATAAGACGTCATTTTATGTTCACAAGGAAAGAACGAAAGAGTGAGTGAGTAAGTAAGAGAAAGAGGGTGGCAGATAGAGGGAGAGAGAGAGAGAGAGAGAGGGTAAGACATAAATTCTAATTATTCATTTGTTCTCGCGTGTCACGTAAATGCGTATCATTTTTTTTGAAATGCCAACACGTATTTGATATCGTGATGCATGAGAATTCGTTGAATCGAATTTCTTCTCTGGTGGTGAGGGAGAGAGAGGAAATATTTGTGCGAAGTGGGTGCTTTGCTTCGTTGTTCTTCTTTCTAATGTTTCAGAATTGTCAAATGCTATAACTCTGTTGGAAAATAAATGCGCGCCGATAGCTCGACATCGAACTTATCATTTGCGTAATTTACCACAATAAAAGAAACTACGCATTTGTTGTCTACCTATATTGTCGATGAATATTTTGCAAATAACAACGTGATTACAACGGAAAATGAATGAAAAAGGAACAAAAACTTGGAAAACAAACGAAAAATGGAATTTTTTATGATGACTCAATGCTGTTTGGCTTCAAAATATAACATGAAGTGGGCAATGAACGAATTGACTTTGACTAGAACAGGGCCACACAGTACAGGTACTTACCAAAAGATTATAACTAACTGTTACTGAAATGGGGATATTTTTTTTAGTTGAAAAAATATATCGAAAACCGTTCGATTTTTAATTAATTTGTTCTTGCTCACAACAAATCCTGATACAATTCTAATAAAATTATGCGAAGTATATTATTTAACAAAAGAAAAACACACAGTCTCACACAAATGGTTTCAAGATTAAAATGGTGTACAACACATAAGCTCGATAAAAATTTTGTTATTAGACGCTGTCTTCGCTACGTAATTTCACACCTTTAATTTCGATTGTTTCATTTACTTCAAAACGAAATAAACAAAACAAAAAATACACAATATTCCAAAAGCTCAACAAATGTTGATTGGTCTACCACTTTCATCGAACTAATCAACGAAGAATGGTCGAAAATTTTCCTTTTCTCATTCGGTCACAGTGTCATTGCGCATTCGCATGAACTCACACTGTGTTCAACAGTGCAAAATCATACATTGCCCATTTATTATACGTTCAATGTTTTTATTTTTCTCTGGCGGAATGGGTCTGTATGCATTGGTGTGTAAGTGAGATTCATGCGCATTGTGTCGCTATGAAAGCTGCATTCCTAAATCGAACCATTCACAGAGGGCAGTATCGTATGTATAAACATTTTCTTCCAGTATGTAGTTTTGCGATTTCTTTCCAACTACATTGGTTTGGAAAGAAATCGCAAACAATGTCGTTTTTGCGATTTTGATCAAAATTCCATGATATAGAATAAGTAAAATGACATGAACTTCTAATTATTGACAATAATTTATTGTCTAAAATTGAAATTCGGTAATTTTGGAAGTGTTCCCATTTCTGAAATGCTATTCTATGTTATTTGCTGTTCCGATTTGTTGATAAAATTACGTTGAATGTATTTTTTGCAGGGTAGTTATATTTGGCCATCCTATATGCCAGAAATGTTGCATTGTGCAGTGGCGAATTGTGTCAATGGACATTGGATACACATAATTATCATACATATTCAAGTTTTAGAAATTATTGGTGGCTGATGCGTGATGCATTTTTCGAAATGCGAATCATCCACAGATGGCAGTACAGATACTTAGCAAAAAGGTATGTACAAACGAAAAGAAAAACTTTCGACGCCAAAACCATAAAGCACAATACATTCTCTTCTTGTTGTGCTTACTCCATACACTTTCTGCTCAGATGAGCTTTTAATGTTTAACTTTTAATTGGTTTATTTTTGCGCGATGAAAAAAAATACACGCACACAAATACACAATCGATTCGGGGTCTTTCTCGCAATCCATCCAAAGCACGTATAAATAATGTCCTATTAAATGGAGCAGCGAACTTGTCGTCACACGCGTAGATGTAGCATTTCACTTGATTAAGCGATTCGATTAGTTGCCGAAACATCGTCTATACAGTCCATTTGATATATAACGCAAAATCCCAATATTCGGTAAGCCGAAGTATGATTGCGTGTACGGCGCCGCGCGTATACAATTCACGGTAGATATAACGTCGTAGTTCATCGTAGTAGCCATAGGTTATTCGCGGCAATGAAATCCATACTGACGACAACATTTGACCTGCCTCTAGTGGTCATACACACAACACACGTTGAGCAGTCAATATATACTAGACCAAGAGCCCACCGTACAAACAACTTTTTTTCTTGTGCACTGCAG